GGAATATACTTGCTAGACACACTTGATAGGATTCTTGGACCACCTCATGGAGTAGCTTTGGAGTCAGTTTTGTCAGAGTCTGTTGATAGAGTCATGTTATGTCATTTTTGGTTTGGCCATTTGTTTTTTTCTGCTTTGAGTCATTTGTTTCCAAATATGTTTAAAGGAGTGTCTTTATCGAGTCTTCATTGTGAGTCTTGTGAACTTGCAAAGCATTGTAGACAATCTTATTCAGTAAGCAATAAAAGATCCATTTCTCCTTTCCATATTGTTCACTCTGATGTGTGGGGGCCATATCATTTGCCTACTATGGGGGGTTACAAGTACTTCATCCTTTTTATTGATGATTATTCTCGTTACGCTTGGATTTATCTCATGAAATCTTGGGATGAAGTACCAACTATTGTGCAAAAATTTCAAAATATTTCGTTCTAATAATGCTAAGGAGCATTTTGAGAAGAATCTCTCATCCTATCTTGAAACTTTTGGGGTTATTCATCAAAGTTCTTGTTCCTACACTCAGCAGTTGAATGGAGTGGTGGAAAGGAAGAACCGTCATGTGGTTGAGGTTGCTAGAACCCTCCTTTTTGCATCCCATGTTCCTATTAAATTTTGGGGAGATGTTGTCCTTACTGCTACCTTTTTTATTAACCGTATGCCTTCCCGGGTTCTTGGCTTCAAAACCCCTCCTTTAGCCTTCTCTTTCCGGATGAGGATCTTTTCTCTCTTCCTCTTCGTGTTTTTGGGTGCACCTGCTATGTACATGTTCACAGCCATCAAAGGCACAAATTTGAACCTAAGACTCGTAAATGTGTTTTTCTAGGATATGCCTCCACACAGAAGGGATATTGCTGTTTTGATCCAGTTAGTGGCACCCGCTTTGTATATCGAGATGTCATATTTGCTGAGTCTACTTCTTTCTTTAGTATTCCTCCTAAGGGGGAGCAATTTAAGGAACCCTTTGCTATGTCTCCAACAATTCCTCTTCTTGTTCCTTTTGAGTCATCTGATGAGGTGTCCACTTCTCCCACTGTGCCTATCTCCAGTATTCCTGCTCCTTCTCCTCCACCTCATCCTCCTATAATTCCTCCACTCCTACTTCTTTCCTAGACCTTGATCTTCCTATTGCTCTTTGCAAGGGCAAGCGGAAGTGTACAACCCATTCTATCTCTAAACACCCGTCCTAAGACTTTTATCCCCTACCTACTACTCTTTTCTTTCTTATGTTTCTTCCCATGTGATGCCCATGTCTGTATTAGAAGCTCTATCTAAACTTGAATGGAGGGATGCTATGATGGCTGAACTAGATGCTTTGCATAAGAACCATACCTGGGATATTGTGGATTTGCTAGAAGGGAAGGAACTAGTGGGTTGTAAATGGGTATTTGCCATTAAATGTCATTTGATGGCTCTATTGAGAGGTTTAAGGCCAGATTGGTTGCTAAAGGCCACACTCAGATGTATGGTATTGACTATCTTGAGACCTTTGCTCTTGTGGCCAAGATGACCTCAATCCAGGTTTTGTTGTCCCTAACTACTACTTTTGATTGGCCTCTCCACCAGTTTGATGTTCAAAATGCCTTTTTGAATGAAGATCTACATGAAGAGGTCTATATGTCTTTGCCTCCGAGAGTGTATGGAAAGGAAATGCAAGGGAAGGTGTGTAAAGTGCAGAAATCCATTTATGGTCTCAAATAGTCTCCTCAGACCTGGTTTGAGAGATTCAAGGCTGCTCTTGTCTCATTTGGTTACACACAAACTCAATCTGACCATACCTTATTCTTGAAAAGAAGTGACTCTTTGGTGACCTTTTTGATAGTTTATGTTGATGACATTGTGGTCACGAGTAATGACACCCAGGAGGTCAGTAAACTCAAAAAGTTTCTTAACTCTGAATTTGAGATCAAGGATTTAGGAGATCTCAGGTATTTCTTGGGAATTGAAGTTGCTAGATCTAAGGATAGTATCTTCATTTCTCAGCGCAAGTATGTCCTTGACCTCCTTGCAGAAATTGGTAAACTTGGTGCTAAACCGGCCTCCACTCCTATTGATCCCAATCATAAGCTTTCTGCTATAGATGGTGAACTTTTATCTGATAGGGGGATGTTTCAGAGACTGCTTGGGAATTTGTTATTATCTCTGCATGACTTGGCCGGATATTTCCTATGCAATGAGTGTTATTAGTCAGTTTATGCATTCTCCCAGAGATACACATTTAGTTGTTGCAGAAAGAGTTCTGTGTTACTTGAAAGGTACTCCAGAGAAAGGTATTCTATTTGCCAAACATGGACACATGAAGCTGGAGGCATACACTGATGTTGATTGGGCCAGATTTATTGATAATAGGAGATCCACCTCGGGATATTGTGCTTTGGTGGCAGGGAACATTGTTTCATGGAGGAGTAAGAAGCAGTCTGTAGTTGCCAGATCCTCTGCTGAAGCAAAATACAGGGCAATGGCACATGGTGTGTCATAATTACTGTGGCTGCACTTTTAGAAGAATTGGGGGTTGACTATGAAAAGCTAATGGTACTCTACTGTGACAACCAGGCAGCTTATTGCACATAATCATGTTCAACATGACAGAACTAAGCACATTGAGGTTGATAGACATTTTATACGGGAAAGAGTTTCCTCGGGAGAAGTTTGCTTGCCATTTATTGCCTCAGAAGAACAGTTGGCTGATGTTTTGACCAAGGGAGTTCCAAGGGAAGYTGACACACTATATAAGCAAGCTGGGCATGATTGACATCTATGCTCAGCTTGAGGGGGAGTGTAGAGAGACTGGGCCGAATGGGCCCTAGTATCTATTCTTGTAGTGTGTTACTTATTTGTTTGTTAATGGGCCTGTCTTTATGGGCCTGTTATTTCTTTTTGTAAACTTACTTTAGGTTTCTGCTTGGCTGGCCGCCCACTTAAGGGCATACTTGTAATTAGCCTAATGAATGAAGAACAAAAGGATTAGAGAGGGAAGGGAGGAGATTATCGAACTCTTCTTCTTCCTCCTCTTCTTTTCTCCATCTTCTTCCTTTGTACTGCTGTCCTCTACTTTTCTTCTTTTCTCTCTAATTTTAACCAAGTTTATTTCAGTTTAGAGGACTGATTCACATCTATAGGCATCTCTTTTTCTGTATTTAACAGCCAGAGTGTGTTACCCTTTTGCTTAGGAGGTTTACACCAGAGATGAGGTCTGAATGAAGGGTGGTTGTACTGGAGCAGGAGAAAGGACATGAGTTACATCAATGGGAAACGACACTAAGATCTTAGTTGTGTTAATTGTTGATTTTGTCTGTACTAGAGGGACTCTTGAGACATGTTTTAAAAAGGGAGACATCTAAAGAAGGCTTAGGGACATTTTCAAAGATTATCTCAGTTCAACTGTATCATATCTGTGCAGTTCAACTACTGTTTATAAAACAAGGAAAAAATGTGTAGGTTATCTGGAGGGAAGTGATTCTAATTCCTGGCAACAATGTTGACAGCATAACTCCAAGAAGCCCAATATAGAATTGGGAATGGATGTGGTTTGGCACATTTCTTAACAGGACATCATGGCATGCTCTTTCCAAAGAAAATCAGTAAAGATATGATTGATTTAAGAGCAATTAAGTGAGAGATGCAAGAAAAGATCAAGGGTCTTCTAGTGCCTGAGGTGCAAGGCATGGCGTGCACCTGGACACAGCAAGTAACAAAATTTTGAAAAAAAAAACTTAATACATTAAATGAATTTAAAAGAAATTAAATGTTTTAAAAGCTTGTAAGTTCAAGCCAAAATAAATGAACATAACATATAATACAAATCCAAAGTGATAATGACAGCAAACAAATGTCAATCATACCAAGTGCTTCATGCACTATTGCACTCACCAATTTGAGCATGTGAAACTCTAAGGCTGTGTTTGGTTTGAAGGAAAAAATAGGGAAAGGAAAGGAAAGGTAGGGAAACCTTTACAAACCTTGTATTGGTTTCCCTACCTTTCCTTTCCTTTCCCCACCTTTTCCTTCAAACCAAACATAGGCTAAATGTATTTGTTCATCTCCTCGTCGCATAACTTAAATTAGCTAGTAGCTATTGTAATGTTATATATGTCTTGCATTCCTAATCCTAGGAGGTTGGAGCCTTTACAGTGGCAGAGGACCAAGCAACAATAAAAGGTAATTTATAAGTAGTGACCATTAAAAAAGTGCAAAACACATAAGAATGGACAAAGGTACACTAAACATGAGGAATTTCTTGCCATAATTTCATTTATTAGTTACATGAGGAATTTCTTGCCATATTTGGAGTTCAGATGCTGCAAGTTGTTGTTCCTCTTCTCAGTTTGATCATTGTGGACAAATGTACACTAAACAATCTCCCATACTTGGTTTGTCCATAGATGATATTTGACCCTGCTGGAGTGCATATCTTATTGTAACGCATAACCGTCATCTTCTCAGCCTGCCACTGGTCTTTAGTGCCTTGAGAGTATTAAGATATCTGAGTTCCTGATCATGTTAGAAGTTGGTGCATAAGAAGGAACAATGGAAAAGATGAATGTAGGTGTCAAACTAAAGCCTATGTCAAAAACATGTGGAACTTTGTTGTCTGCATTAGAGTCCTTTCCATTGTCTGCTTCTAGAGCAATCATAAAATGTCACCGACTCACCGGCACCTCAATAAATTTGAAAGGATTGAACATGTAGATCATCTACCTACTTTGTCTTAGCTGCAACAAATCAAGGTGAGGGTTTTGCTTCTTTTGACCTGAACTCAGCAATGCATATCTAGGCCTTTGTGGTAACAAAAAACAGATTGCACTTGAAACAAAACTTCAAGTTGCTTAGATGTCATCATCGCCTGTCTTCTTTGTTTTCTTAATCTCTGTTTCTAAACTGACTTTCTATTTCTTTTCATCTAAACTAGCCTCTATTTGAATTGTATTGCATTTTACTCATCTGTATTTGTCAATTTTTAACTACTACATGTTCTGAATCTGCTTCTGCACATTGCTAACTAGGATTCTTGGAAAACCACTATTCTGTTGAGAGTAAAGCAATCCCTGAAGGCAAGGGAATTGGAAGAGGACGATCTTACTTGAATTCTTTGTTATCCACTATCTAATTTTGGGTTTGTATCCACTAATTAGTTACTGGTTAGCCAGACTTGCATCCCTTTATAGTCCTAATTTGTGTTGTAATTGGTTTTGGGTTCTAAGGAGAGACTTTTATTGCTTGGATTTATGTGCATAAACTAGTATTTTCCTATTCCCTCCCTAAGTTGGCTCTTTAATTGTTCATTGCGTCAATATCGTATTTTTAAGAAAATAAGAGCTAACTTGATTGAATGTGAAGTGTAGTTGGCGAGTGTTGGTGATTGGAATGGAGTGAAGGTTTGCTTATCTGTTAGGGTTTCTTATTTGTGGTTAATTTATTTGTAAGTGTGGTTTAAAACCCTGGAAATTCATTAAAGAGGGCAAACTTGCCGAGTCAATTCAGCTGACATTGTCCAATCCGGCTGACTTACTAGTTAACCAATAGAAAATAAGAAATACTTTCATGTAATTGTTAATAAAGTAATTAATTAAAATACTAAAAATAAGAAACATTGTGTTTCTACACAGGAGCCCTTGGTTAAAAGACTCATTATCTTGAAATAAGAAACATTGTGTCTCAACGGCAAAAGCACTACAAAATCTTGAAGGACTGATTATCTTCATTCCCTGCTGAATTTGATTATAAAGCTCAGTTTGGAAGGAATGTATTTGTACTCCTCCCAAACTAAGCATAATGCTTAGTTTGGAAAGAGTACAAATCAAGGTTCAAAATTTCAGAATGTATCGGATCGTATCGGCCGATATGTATCGTTCCGGTATAAGTCCGATACATGGAACGCATAGAAATTATCTGTAGCGTTCTTTTTTGTATTTATCGGTCTGTATCGGACTGTTTCGGGTCTGTATCGGCCTATACAATTCTGAAATAGTTCGATACAGCGTGATACAAGTCCCCTTCTCTCATTAATTTCATTAAATTATATTTAGGGCCAATTACCTCATTAATTTTATATTTATTCCTATATTTAAGTGCAATTTCTCATTAATTAGTTAATTACTCCTGTAATTAATGCATAATTTTAAATTTAAAGTTCAATTTTAGTGCCTAATTGGAATTTTCTTCTCATTAATTTTGTTAACTAATAATCCTTTTTCTCATTAAATTCGCTTTGTTAGTATAAAACTACAAATTTAGCAATAGCAAGATTCGAACCTTGGACATTAGGCCTTAACAACTAAAGGTTCATTAAGCCATGCCCATTTGCTTGCTATAGGTTTATGCATTTTTATTTTTAAGTAAATTTTCTCTTTTTCTTACTGTATGCTTATCAATAAATGTTAGAATTAATTATTAAAATTTTTATTAATAAATATTAAGATAAATTATATTGATTATTTTAAAATTAATATATATATATATATACATTTTAGTTTTTTTTTTACGTTTTAGTTATTCCATCATTTGTCAATAGTTACTAAGTGTCCCGATATCTAGAATTTTATATAAACTATTAAATTACAGTTTTTTTTTTTACTTTTAAATAACTTATTTACAATCATATAAAACTTGTAACTATCACTATTAATATATTTTTTAGGATTTATTTGAGTTTTTTAGTGTATTTATGTGCATCTTGATTTTTCGTCCGTATCCATACATATCCAAAGCGTATCTCAATACGTCTTTTAAAATTATCTTTTCGATACACCTTGCGTTTTCGATACTTTAAACCTTTGTACAAATACAAATGTGTACGGTACAAATACATACAAAATAGAAAACTTTGCACTCTACATATTTGTATTTATACTCCTTCCAAACTGAGCCTAAAGAATCAAGGCTCAGTTTAACCATGTTTATCTTCAAGGCTTTAAGTTAAAAATCTATCCATGTTTAACCAATCTAAGGATTATAACTGCTTGAAGGGTCTCTGTCAAATCATAAGCCTTGAATGATTATATCCCTGCCAACTGCGTGGTGGCTTGATTGGCATGTTAGTTGGGTAGTCCAAGCAGAGACACAGATTCCAGTCCTGCCATTTCTACTACATTGAAAAGTTAGTGTGTTGTATTAAATACCAAAAAAAAAGATTATATCTCTCTCAGGCTGGCATCCTTAAATCATGTGAGGTTTGGTGCCCAGTAGCTTCCGGCTTCCCAAGTTAGGCCCTACATGGACAGCCTTTAAGCTATATTGAGCGAAAAAATCCGGAGAGTCTAAATCATCTGTCAGTCACAACTCACAATAAGTTATTTTTTGGGCTGACCACTTCAGCCCCTTTGGATTGTTTATCCAGAGCACCTGAAAGCAGTTCAACGTTTAGCACAGCCCTCACAAACGGGCCCTACAATTTGAAGTTAAATTGAGAGGTAATAAGTGGAAGCGTCACTTTAGACCTCAACTGCACCCCACCAATTGTACAGGGGTGGCAATGTTGACCCCCATCCCATCTGACCCATCCGTTTAAAAATCCACCCATTAAGATGAGGATTATGGGTTGAATCACCCATTTGGGTCAGGGGAAGAGGGTCAGGGTGGGGTTGGGTCAAGGGAACCCATTGGGTTGTAAAGGGTTAGAGTCATCAAGGGAAGGGTCGAAACGGTTAGGACTTAGGGTGGGGTATTCTGCAAATAACCAGGTTAAGGGGAAAAAGTTTTGGTCGCTGTTCTCAATGCTGTTGACTAGTGATCTTCTTCTTCTCTCTCTCCTCCCACCTCAGTGTTGGCCCCTATTTTTCTTTCTTTCTTTCTTCTTTTTCTTCTTCTTCTTCTTCTCCCTCTCCTCGTATGTCTACTCTTTCCACCATGGCAGAACAAGTGACAAAGAATCATTAGATCTGGTTCAAACCCAGATCTGTGTTCATTGTTTGAAGAGATCGCACTAGATCTGAGTTCCCAAACGTAGAACTACTAAAGAGATTGCACTATATCCGGTTCACACCTTATGAAGACAGATTTGAGTTCACATAGATCCAAGGCAGAGGTCGCACTGGGTCTGATTCAAATCTTTATCGTCTTCCTCTATGAAGATAGATCTGGGTTCACAAAATAGATCCACGACAGAGGTTGTGCTAGATCTGGTTCAAGCTTCATTGTCTTCTTCTGTGAAGACAGATTTGAATTCACCAAACAGATTCACCACAGAGATTGCAGTAGATCTAGTTGATGATGCACGATCTGGCCGGTCTTAGCTGTTGATGATCTTGCCTTTGAAATGAGTAACAGGGACCTGAAATGGGAGGAGAAGAGAAGCTCCGGGGAGAACCCGGCGTAAGGTCTCCGAAGCTCAAGTTAGAATCCTTCAAAGGCAAGAATAACCAGATAGCGCGAAAGTTAGCATACC